AGTGGCAGGCAGCCATGGACGCAGAGATGGCATCATGGAAGTCCACAGGCACCTACGTCGATGACGTTCCCCCTCCCGGGGCGAACATCGTCGATGGCATGTGGATTTTCAGGGTGAAGCGGCCGCCGGGTTCTCCGCCTGTCTTCAAGGCTCGCTACGTTGTTCGAGGCTTCAGTCAGCGAGAGGGAGTTGACTTCTTCCAGACCTTCTCCCCCACCCCGAAGATGACCACTCTTCGGGTGCTGCTGCACGTTGCCGCTCAGCGTGACTACGAGCTTCACTCACTGGACTTCAGCACAACCTTCTTACAGGGCAGCCTGCACGAGGAGATCTGGCTGCGCCGCCCACCTGGCTTCACTGGGTCGTTCCCACCTGGTACCCAGTGGAGCCTCCGGCAGCCAGTCTACGGTCTCCGCCAGGCGCCTCGTGAGTGGCACGACACACTGAGGACTGCACTCGCAGCACTTGGGTTTGCTCCTTCGACTGCTGACCCGTCGCTGTTTCTGCGGTCGACACTTCGCTGCCGCCGTTCTACATCCTCGTGTACGTCGACGACTTGGTCTTTGCCACTGCTGACACTGAGGCTCTTGCCCTGGTGAAGTCGGAGCTGCAGAAGTGACACACGTGCACAGACCTGGGTGAGCTGCGCAGCTACCTTGGCTTGCAGATCACCCGGGACAGAGCACGCCGCACCATCACTCTGACTCAGTCACACATGGTGCAGCAGGTCCTTCAGCACTTCGGCTTCACCTGGTCCTCGCCACTATCCACTCCTCTGGCTACAGGTCACTCACTCTCAGCTCCACCTTCGGACGAGTCCGTAGAGCCGAGTGGTCCTTACCCAGAGTTAGTGGGCTGCCTCATGCACTCGTCCTGACCTTGCGTACCCTCTTGGCCTTCTGGCCCGCTACGTGGCTCCTGGTCGGCACCGAAAGGTGCACTGGGATGCTGCGAAGAGGGTACTGCGCTACTTGTGCAGTACATCGGGCATGGAGCTCGTGCTTGGAGGGCGGAGAGACGTGGTCCTCACTGGGCACTCAGACGCTTCTTGGGTTGACGACCAGGCTACGCAGCGGTCGTCACAGGGTTACACTTTCAGCCTTGGCTCCCGTTTTGTTTCTTGGCGTTCTACTCGCTCGCCTTGTGAGGCTCCGGTTTTGTTTCTCGTAGAGCTCCAGTTGTGAGGCTGAGATCTACGCCACCGCCATGGCTGCTCAGGAGTTACGCTGGCTCACCTACCCGCTGATCGACTTGGGAGAGAGGCCTCGTTCTCCTCCAGTTCTGTACGTCGACAACAAGGCCGCCATTGCCTTGTGTCAGGAGCACAGACTGGAGCACAGAATGAAGCACATCGCTCTGCGTTACTTCCTCGCTCGAGAGTTGCAGCAGAGGGGTCAGATACGCCTTGATCACATGGCCACTCGGGCCAACACTGCTGATATATTCACCAAGGCACTTCCGTCTGGTGACCATCAGCGCTTTTGTACTTTGTTGGGCCTTGTGCCTACGTTTCCACACTTGATGTAGACTTTACCGTCTTGTACTGTGATCTACATATATATATATCTGCATACTTGTTCTTGCTAGGTAGAGATCACTGTACTGTTCTTGTTGCATATATACCTCTGCATGTGGACTGGCCTTGTGGCCCTTTGCTTGTGCTCAGTGTGTGTGGTGACGTTGTGATCCACCCTGAGCTTGCTTTGCTTCTCTTGACTGGTCTTGTGACCCCTTGTTCTCCCCCACTTTGCCTATGGGGGTGTGTCAAAATATGTATATGTTATATTTGTGGGTAGGCTGTAGTGGGGTAGATAATGTGGGGTACAACCCCTTAGGGTTTACATCTTGTACCAAACTCACTCGATAGTTTCATCATTCATGCATAGGTCTGAGAAAACAGAATATGCTCTTGAGATTAAATCGGAACAAACCGAAATAACAAAACAGAAAGAGAGGGTTCGGTTTACAGAACAGTAGACGTGCAAGGAAGCGGAAAGATTGAGGGACGGAATAAAAAGCAGTTATAACATTTAGAGCACTTATGAAGCAACTATAAAGAAGGCGAAAATGGACAGATTGAGCGATAAAGCTGGTAAGAAGGCAAGGGAAGATGACATGAAACAATGACATCTACTATGAAAGAAGGAACAACATGTGATAGCATACTAGTAGTAAGAGTCAGAGATCAATCTGTTGGTCATGAGAATTCTAATGTAAGGGAATGATAATAGAACAGAACTAACAGAGATGAAAGGAAATGCAAGGAAAGGAAGATATGTTGCAACGGCATGAAAGAATGGCAAAAGAAGATTGGCATGCAACTTTTGTAAAAACAGTTATATCAACGCTCAATCTAACAGCTCGAAAATACTACATGTCCTACAGGTAGAAGAAGAAACAATAAAATCTAATCGAAAACCCCAACAAATGTCAGAATGTGATGTTTGTCTAGCCTGCAGTGGGGTACTCTATAGCGAGTACAGCCCAAATTAGGGTTTGCTATATGTACTCAACTGCCTGCTAGTGAAAACCCCTCGTACTTGTTTTTGATTCTCGCCTGTTGTTTTGACATGCTATCAGAGCAGGTCGACCCTCCTGGGTCGATCCTGTGGGTGGTCCCGCCCGATGCTTTCGCTGCTGTTCTGCCTATCGCATGCCCTGGGCGCGCGATGTCTGCTGCCTGCCGTGCGCTCAGGGCGCGCGGTGCTTTTTTCTTCCCGCCCCTCGCCCCAAGCCGCGCGGCGGTTTTCTGCCCCGTCGACCCGCGTGTCACCCCCCCCGGTCGGCGGTCGCATCGCCCCCCCGGGAACCCATCGCGTCGCCCCGCTGGCCTGCGCGTTGCCCCCGCTACTCCGTCGCGACGCCCTGGGGAGCCGCGCGCGACCCCGCTGTCTCCGTCGCGACGCCCTGGGGAGCCGCGCGCGACCTTGCTGCCCCGTCGTGACGCCCTCGAGAGCCGCGCGCGGCCCCCCGCTGCCCCGTTGCGACGCCCTCGGCCCCCCGCTGCCCCGTCGCGGCGCCCTGGGGAGCCGCGCGCGGCCCCCCGCTGCCCCGTCGAGGCGCCCTTGGGAGCCGCCCTCCCCCGAGCTGCTGCCCGCGCACCGGCCCCCCCCCGCTGCTGCCTGTGTTAGGGTTTGGGGGTGGCGAGTGTGGGGGTGGCGAGTATGGGGGTGACGGGTGTGTGCGCCGTCCCCTGCTCCTCCTCCTCCTCCGTCTCCCACTGCTGCAGCTGCCACTGAGGAGGGTGGATGTGTGGGGGGCCGTCGGAGTGGTACTAGGGGGGTGGCGTGTGAGCAGTGCTAGAGGTGCAGCAGGGGGTGTGTGAAAGGGTTGTGGGGCAGCTGGGGGAGGTTGAGTGGAGGCAGCCGTCTTGTCGTCCGCAGCGCCTGTAGTCCAGAGAGCCAGCTGCGTCTGTGGCCTGAGTAGTCCGGGTATAGCCTGGTAGCCACAGTGTGAGCACTCCTGGTAGTCCAGAGAGCCAGCTGCGTCTGTGGCCTGAGTAGTCCGGGGCTCTGCGCCTGGTAGCCACAGTGTGAGCACTCCTGGGAGCACAGAGAGCCAGCTGCGCCTGTCGCCTGAGTAGTCCGGGTATAGCCTGGTAGCGACAGTGCTACGCACTCCTGTTGCCCGTGTGTCTGCAGCTTCAGCCGTCGCCTCCCATCTTCTCGCCTCCATAGTTTCTCCTCCTCCGCACTTGCCCTCTGTGATAGCTTTGCTTATCATTGTGAACTACTGCTCTGCCTGCTTGTTGTGTTGATTGTACCCCACTTTGACTATGGGGGTGTGTCAGAATGTGATGTTTGTCTAGCCTGCAGTGGGGTACTCTATAGCGAGTACAGCCCAAATTAGGGTTTGCTATATGTACTCAACTGCCTGCTAGTGAAAACCCCTCTTTCCTGTTTCTGATTCTCGCCTGATGTTTTGACAACAAAATGGAATTCCCGTTGCTATATCAGATAGGAAGCAGAAGGAATGAAATAGAAAACATGAGATAAAGAAAGAGAAGATAAAAAGAGATAACCAAGAAGAAACGTAGTCAGAGGTATGAGAAACAAAGGGGAAATCTTACATTATTAGCAACCGTAGTGTTGATACGAGATGCAGCAGATACGCTTTTCAACTTAACTTTCAACTTAACT